AGCATCACTGTCTGGCACCAAGTCCAGTGTTTTAAGGAAAATTTCTTCCTGTCCACTTTCTTCAGACTATATGTGATTTACAATGTGGTCAGGAATCCACTGCCTTTCTTCAAGTTAGAGTTCCAAATATTGTAGCCTTGAGTTCCCCCAGTCACATCATTTGGGTAGTCCTTTATTGCTCTTTTGCACCTTTATTGCTCCTGTTTCAAATATGGCACTAAGAATGGCTCTTTAGCTGTAGACATGCCATTGATTTAAATAACAGCCTTGCTGTAATGCCAACTTTGTTTTCAATTCCCTCCTTAATAATCCACAGAGTGGAATTTTCCTTTCTCACAGCTCCCACACACTGAGTCAACATCTTCTCTGATGATGGCAATGTTTTTTTTTTATTACTAACAGACAATTATGCCAACATCACTAAATAAGACAAATGGGATGGGGGGGAGAGTTAATGTGTATTGTTTTATACTTTCTTAAATGGATGGAATTTACCTGAGTATTCATTACCCAGTTTAAGGAGATTTCTGTGGAGCACAATCATCTTTGGATTTTATCACCCAGAATAATACTTCAGTATCGTCTGCAAACTTGGCCAAATATTTAGCACAGGACCCAGTTACAGTTCATTGTTTCTGGCTAAGCAACTTTAAAAAAAACATTGGTGGCTGAAGCACCATTAATGCAAAACTCAAGTTACTAATAATTTCTGTCACCATAGTTCATGTAACCAAAAATATAATATAAAATATAAATAAAAATGTTTAAGCTGCCTTAATGTTTTCAGTCATTTTCTTTTCACTGAATACTATATTAAGAATATAAGAATTACTTTTGCTCATGACATATGTCTATGTTTGATATTTTGACAACAGGAAAAATTCTGTTAAGCAAGAAGAATAAAAACTGATCATTTGAAATTAATAGTATCAGATTTCTAATTTTATCACTGAAATTTGATTTCCTGCACACAGTCTTTATTAATTAGGCTTCACAAATCTATCAATTTTGTGTGTGTGTGTGTGTGTGTGTGTGTGTGTAACTAAATGTGGACACATATTGCTAACTCATTCTGATCTATTACTGTATGACATTTGCATAGAAAGAGTTGACCTCTTATTTTTTTGCTGATTAAAATATTAAATGGTTCTAACCAATAGAGTTTATAGATTATAGTTATGTGTTAGTTGCTTTAAAGGATTACATGTATTGGCTGTAATCAGTAAAAATTATAGACAGTGGCATCTGAATTTACTATGCAGAATAACAATTTGAAGGAATTATAGGAAAACATAGTATTCTGCATGCTTGATCTCCAAAGATGCCTGACTTCATGTAACTATGGACAGGTGGATTGGATCCAAATTTAGTCATATTTAGGGCAGACACACTGATGTCAGTGAAACCTTTGTTACACATGACTGAATTAAGTACTACTGATTTCATAGTTGATTGAGTAAGCTGTCTGGGAATGAATAAGTCTGAACTGCATTACCCACTGGGTGCAATTTTTATTCAGTGGCTAAATTATACAGGTAGTCCTCGATTTACAAACACAGTTGGGATCAGAATTTCCTTTGTATGTCATTGTAGGTATAAATCAATTAATGATGTGAGCTTCAATTTTAAAGTCATTTTTACCGCAGTTGTAAGTTGCATCACTATGGTTGTAAGTCAAGTCATGTGGTTATAAGTACAAATACAGCTCAATGATTATTTTTTTTACCAGAAACTGGCAAAACCATCAGAAACTGTCATCACATGACCACGGGATGCTGCAACCAGTCATAAATGTGAGCTGCTGCAAAGCGTTCAAATTGCAATCACATGACTATGGTGCATAGGTGACAGTTGTATGACCAAATTAAGCTGCAACTGATTTTTTTGGAAGCCACTGTTAATAGCTGCAAGTTGTAAGTCAAGGTTGTAAGACTACCTGTAAATTGTGCACACTATATCTGAAACTTATATAGAACATAGAATCATAAGGCTGGAAGGCACTTTAGAGGTCTTCTAGTGCAACCCCCACCGCCTCAAAACAAGAGATCTTATACCATCCCAGTCAACTGGTTGTCCAGTCAATTTTGAAACCTCCAGTACAGAAAATTCTAACAGCAACAGAAATTTTGAGGAAGAGTATATTGCTATTACATATAAAACAACCCCCTTTCCATTACCTTTGCAAGTTTTGTTGTTTTCTTTTCAGTTTATTATGATAAAAATTAATCAAAGATAAAAAAGAGATCTACAATCAAGCAATGAGACAGTATTGGCCATTCAAAACTTTATAATATTAAGAACACTAATGGTGCTATATAATCATATATCTGAAAAACAATGACATCAATCTGCAGTAGTATAGCTTTCCACTGAAAATTATCTACACTTCTCATTATCATATTTAGAATTTTTTTTCATCAAAATGTTATCTCATATAAATTGCAATAAGTTTCAATGGAAATACCATGAATTCTTCTAATTACATTAAATGAAGAAATAGAATAACAATATATATATATGAAGTTTTAAGGAACAATTGTTAGAATTTATGGTAATGAGTATGCAACAGTGTTCTAGCAACCAGTTCTGAGTGCACATATTAAAATTGAGGACATAAAATATGGGAAAGAGCCAAGGTAAGCACTTCTGTTGAAGGGACAAAGTGCCCCTTTGAAAAAGGCAAAACAAAACAAAACAAAACAAAAAAAACCTCACAGCAGAAAATCCTTCATAGCAGTTAAGTTCAGGATGTTTACATTTCATACTCTTTCCCAGTAGGATAGAAAGATGTATTAAAAAATTGGCTGAAAATAAGGTGTTATGTAAATGCCGTATAATATCCTGTTGTAACAAAATGTTCGGACCTTTCAACATTCAATAAGTGCTTTCCTTGTTTATTTCTTTATTGTGTCTTTGCATTCTGTGTAATGATTACTTAATAAACCCAGGTTACTATAAGCAGCAAATGAGACTTTGGACTCCCCTCTTCCCTCTTCCCATTAAAATGCCAACTTACATTGAGAACATTTGCTGAGAGTTGGAGACCAAAAAAAATAGTATGGTATTTTACCAAAAACCTAGAAGCAATAAAACAATAATGGGATTGACTCCCCCAAAGTCTCAACATTCACACATCTCTGTGCCAGCTTCAGGTTTGAAAAACAGTTAGATAAATTCAAGAAAATATCTAAATATAGAGATCTCATTGTAGTTTTTGAAAAATAAACATAGAAAAAGACAGATAATGCAAAGATCCCTCCATTCTCATGTCTACCATGTCACATGATGTCTGCCTTTTGAGGTAATCCAAACAAGAAACCCAAACCTTGAAAACTATATTGTATAAGTTACAGTAACAGAAAATATGCCCCCTTTACTTTCCAGAGAACTAGGGAGGGTCAATTCTGGGATGTTTTCTCTACCCCATCCTTCCATTAGATTTAGATTCCTCTTCTCAGACTCTTGTTTAGGTTGTGTCTCTTCCTCCTGTCTCTTAAGTTTATTCTTACAAACCAATACATCTGGTAACCAACTGGGCAATAGAAATGTTAAACATTTATATTCCGTTAGGTTTTCTAACAGTTTCTGTTACCATCATTTAATTAAACTGTCTAAACATTATTGACATACCTTGCCCATTATTTTTAGCTGTTTTTTCAGTTTTTAATGTTTTAAATAATAATAGTTGTTGTTATTTGCATATTATTTTCTTAATTCTGTTGCATGCTGCCCAGAATAATTTGTTTTGTGAAATAGGTAGCTGCAGAAATTTGAAGAATAAATAAATAGAAAATCCAACATAAAACAGATTTTGTGTGTGTGTGTGAACAAACAAACTCAGGGAGGTGTATTGAACTATTTTGCATTATTTTCTTGTTTCTTCCATGCCCCTTATAGAAAGCCATGTTTACAAGTGGCATGCTTTTGCACTGATATCAGCTCCAAAACTGTTTGTAAACAAATGGACCATTGTGGTAAAAATACTAAATAAACAGAGATTGTTAGATTATATCAGATGATATTCATATAATGTTAATAACTCAAAATTAGAAAATGAAGTTGATGAGCTTACTAAGCTATTATAAACCATCTTCTCTTAAGTATGCAAGCTTGAAGAAGCATAGAGAAGACACAAAAATCTATCCACATTAGAATTCAAATAAAGGAGAATTTACAATCTATGGGATAATTAGCCTTTGTTCATCCACAATCAAATTAATATGCACAAAAAACTTATAGTCCTAAGCTGATGTTTTGGACAATTTAACCAACTTACTTAGTCTTAAGGAACAATTAAGCCCTTGAAAAGTAGCATTCCGTCTATTGCCTCAATCAAACATTTCACTAGGAAAATAGATTTCTAATATACCAGGGGAAAGGTTGCACTGCCATCTGCTGGTTTTGATAGATAATATCTATGAAACCTACCTAAATAAGGAAATAATTGTATTGAGCCTGAAGAATTTCAGAAATTGTATTTTAAATAGCACTTTTGACACTAGACGGAAATGTTTGGTAGTATGCTTAAAGGTATACAGCACACGCACCAACTGCTCATTCTTCTTCTGATTAGAAAGATATTGTTCCTGTGGTTTTCTCCTTGCTTTTTCCACGTGAATATCACTGAGTTTGGGCACAGTATTAGAAAATGTTCCTGTTTTAAACATTGGGAAATGTGACTCCAACAAGCAATTGCATTTACCTCTGGAAACTGATCTAGGGCAAATTCATTTTTGAAATGTGTAGGTGAGAGGTTTTCTATTTACATAATGAATTTCTGTATATAGATAATTAACCAGTAGAGTGGCTTTCCTCCAGAAGTTGTGATTGCTCCATCACTGAAGGTTTTTAAGAAGTGATTGAAGAGCCATTTGTCTAGAATGGCACAGTCTCCTGCTTAAGCAGGGGATTGGACTAGATTCTGTGTTTAGGATGAAATTGGGTATAAACAAGTACATGTGGCTATAGAAAGCTTTACATTAAATTAAACATGTTCCTACCTGAGAACCCAAGCAGGCAACCATCATATGAGTCAGGAGTTTAGCAGCAAACATTGATGTTCTGGTACATAAGAAATATGAAAATATAGCCAAGATGAAGCCTGTTTTAACCAAACAACAGTAGAACTCAATTACTCAATCAGCCAAATGAGTCAGTTCATTTCACAAATTGCAGTTCAATTTATGCACAGCAAGACAAGATTTTGTCCAAATGGTAACAACCTGAGGTCATGATGTACAATAGAAGGCCATAATGCCACAAAGCAATGTCACAGCACAAGCATAAAAGAGGCAGAGTTTAAGTTGAAAAACTGTGATGTTAATCATTGCTGCCCCCACTTGGAGTTATGTAGATATTTATGTTCTTAACTTCTCCTGTTTTTAAGTACTTTTATTGCACTCAAATATACCTTGTAGAAAATTTCTCTTCTGGAATTCATAACCTGTATGACTATATATTGAAGTAACTATATAATCACAGAACTATTTAATTTAATAAGCTATTCAGCTACTTCTGGAAGGACAGTGGTATAATAACTAAACAAATTCCAAGTTTTTAATGAATTTCAATCACTTTTATACTATTGTCCTTCTAGAATATATTACATTTATCAAATATAATTATCTTAGACAAACATCTAAATATTAAATACCGTAACTAAAGTATGTGTGAATGTGTCCTAAGTATATAGAAATAAAATCAGAAATCTGAGCAGTAATCTTTGGGCAAAGGGTATCCATTTTTTAGGTACTTAGATAGAAGTGAATTCTAATTAGCTGAAATAAGATATATCAACTGAGACTTCCTTGGCTAATACCCTAAGTAAGCATAAAATCTTGTATTTGCATTTTTCTTTTAATAAAGATAAGATCTTCTTTGAGGATATTATCATTAAATACAATTTATTATGGTGAAGTTTCAAATAATCACACAATTATTTTGAAAGATCCAAGGAAGGATTGGAATTGTAGGAGTCCATTCTCTTATCATCTTTTAAAAGCAAAAAGAATTTGTAGTAAAAAAAATGAAAGTCAGCATCTTCACTGTGCATGTCTGAAATAGCGCTCAAAACTTTCCTAATATTCCTTACTGACATAGTGATTTTCTGGAAGAACTTCCAATATTATCTTTTTAAATCAGTACATAAATCAATAACAATACTGTTACATAACTGACCAGAAATACTGATGAAACCAGAAGAAAAGAAAGCTTCATTGTAAGAAGAGAAGCTCTCTGTCTGTGCACTAGCTGCATAAACTGACATGTGTGAACAAGAACATTCCACGTAATTGGAGGAATCATCCATCAGCTTACAGAATTGAGCATTAGACAGCCAACTACAGAGGGAACAAATATTGGCAGTTAATTTGTTATTTCCTAATGTCACAAAATGTAAACAAACATTATAAGAATTGTGTTGGTCTATAACAGAACCAAAATGCTTTTGTAAATCAGAATAAAGTTCCTTGTTTTGCGGAATTTATTAGCTAGACTACATGAATGGCCACAAGGAACCTAAACTCAAGACAAAATTTAGAATTTAACCAGATGGATCCCAAACTTTATGGGAAAATGTAGTTTTGTGAGGTGTAGGAGACTTCTGAGAAGCCTAAAACAGATTTTCTCAGTAGGTTATCAACCAATGCCTCACAGGTTAACTCAAACATATAGAATTTAACTGGGTCAATATGTCAAATCTTGATCAGGATTTAAAAAGTATATAAATCACTATATACAGGAACCATTACATGTCTAGATGTATGTTTTCAGACCAAAGCAAAAACTTGATTGTGTCTTATTAATGAAACTCCATCTTTCTCTAAATCTATATACTCACCATGTAGAAGGTGGTTGTTCAACATTAGGAACACATAAAGAGGAAGGCATTATATATTCTAATAAACTTGTATCACCCTGTCAGCACCTCCATATTTTCTTGGAACTCAGAATTGTATGACTCCAGGAAAAGGCTCTGCTTCTTTAAAGACGTACCAACAGATGCAGTGAGTACACTCACACCCTCTATGAAGCTACCCACTTTCACTTTTAATCCACACAGCAGCACATAACTAATAGATGTATGTGTTCGTGTGATAGACACACACACAAAGAATTAGAAATGTACCTTTCAGCAATCTGATTCCAAACAAGACACAAAGACTTATGAGGAATTATATGACTTTCTGTTGAATAAATCCGGTAGATGACCTCATTATTATCTTTTAGCTGAACTGGACTCTGTCTCTTCAAGCTCATTGAAAAAACCTGAAATAGGAAAGATAGACATCTTTTGCTTTTAAAACATTCCTGATTTTTATTTTATACTTGATTCTTATTTTGCACTAAATATTCAACTCTATCTTATTCCAAGCAGACCCTCAGTAACTCCTGAAAAGACACCAATTCTCTAATAGGTATCAGTTTCAAATACTTCCCCTTTATCCTTCCTAAGATACAGTGACTATAACTTCATAATGCAAAGATTTGCTCTTCTGAAGAGATATCATTTAGCCTTGTATTTGCCTTCTAAAACGAGGCCCAAATTCCATCGCAGACAACATGACAAGAGGATTTGAATCCATATCTTATGGATGCCACAATACAGAACCAGTTGTCCTTAATATTAACTTGTTTTAAGAATGCAATCTTCAGAATCTTAAGAGATATATAAATTAAGCAAGTGTTAAACCATATAATTTAAACAATTTATTTATTTAATATTTTACTGGGCAGCTTACCACTTCTTTCCATTATTAAGATTAAAAACCTAGAAATAACAAAAAAAAACCAACAAGAAAAATTCTTCCAACAATAAAAAGAATTCACGCTATATGGACAGTCAATATTCCATCTAGTCTATAAGAGTTGTTTAATGCTCTTTGAAATTAACAGAGATGTAACAGTCCTGTGAAGAGGTTATTCCAAAATGCGGAGGGACATTACTGAGATGATTTGAGAATGAGATCCCTGAAGATGGCATTTTCGTAATGTACCTTCCTCTCCCTGATCTTACTAGATAAGGTGATTCCCCTTACAGCAGGCAGCTCCTGAGGCCTTAAGTTACATATGGTTTTTGAAAAGTGTCAGCCAGCACCACAAATTACATTTGGAAACTGACAGTTTAATTTAGTTTATTGTCATTGCACCTCATACAACAAAATTAAATACCATCTTCAGTGTACATTATGACTGAAAATAAACAATACACATCCTTCATATTCTATACATTGAATTGAAAATCCCTGGTATTGCATTAATATTGCACTATACAGTAGAATTCAATAGAATTACTGCCCTGGGATAGAAACTGTTTTTCAGCCTATTTTTCCTTGTTTTTATTATCCTGTACCGTCTGCCAGATGGTAATAGTTCAAAAAAAAGGGTGCCCAGGGTGAGATGGATCTTTGAGAATGTTTTGAACTTTCTTAAGGCAGCAGGAGCTATAAAGCTCTTCCAAAGAGGGGAGAGGGCAACCAATGATCTTCTGGGCAATGACATTAACCCTCTGGAGTGCTGTCCTATCTGCCACTGTGCAATTGGCAAACCATACAGAGGTGCAATAAATTAAGATACTCTCTGTGGTGCAGCGGTAGAAGGTCACCAGCAGTTTTTCATTCAATTGTTGTTTTCTGAGAAGTCTCAGGTAATATAATCTCTGTTGGGCCCTTTTGACCAGTGCTGCAATATGAGTACCCCAGGTCAGGTCCTCTTGTATGGTAACACCCAGAAACTTAAAACTGGTCACTTGCTCCACTCGGTCTCCATTGATAAGCAAGGGCTGGATGTCTGATCTGTTCCTTCTAGAGTCCACTGTAAGCTTCTTGGTCTTATTGGTGTTGAGAACCAAGTTATTGTCTCCACACCACAAAAGCAACTGGTCCACCTCATCTCAGTAGGCAGACTCATCCTCCCAGGAGATGACTCCCACCACTGTCGTGTCCCACATAGCCAACATAGCTGTAGCCATGAAGATGTTACATAACCAAACTTTGATATGTCCATGATGATCCAAGCTGCCTCATGTTTAATCAGATGCAGCTTCCAAAGAATTTTCAATGGTAGCCTCATGTATAAAAACTGTTGATGGCATCCTTTTACATTCATATAAGTTTTTGTTGCTACAGTTATATATATACATCTCTACATGGATTTTCCTTGAAGTAAACAGCAGCTCTGAATAAACATGCATAAAATATGAGTATCAAAATAATTCTGTTAAGGCTGGGTAGCACTTTGAATTCCAAGGAAGGAATGTGTTTCAAGATATTGGTGACATCCATATGCCATTTGTCAGAAACACCTTAAACCAAATGTGTCTTTTCTTAGGCTAGTATGACAGCTGTAGAGATCAGCTATGCAAATCCAGAAAACACAGATGTTTTAAGGTATTACTGACAGGTGCATTCCCATGGGTGTTCTGAATCATGTATTTTCTTTTGAATTTGCAGCACTGCATCATCCTAAATTGTATAAATCAACTGATTTTTTCCAGTAAAATATTTTAAGATAGTCAATAGATCTTCATCTATAAGTCTCATTAAAAATCCACACCATCAGTCAGACTTGCTCAAAATCAGATTCTAGCATTTCCTCAATAGTAGTTTTCATCTTATCTTACATAAGGTTCATAAATGTGTCTCTAACAGAGCAGCTTGGGTTATAAAATCTGATAGCTAGGTGAGTAGAAAGAAATGACTCCCTAATCATTTGTGTAACGGATGTACAGATTCCTGCAGTAGATTGTCTTGCTACACTAGGAAGGGCCTAGAACGCTATCACAGGCACTGAGACAATGAAAAGCCATTATACAAATAATGAGAATCAATGTATAGCAGGAGAAACCAGAATTAAAAAGATGCATGCTCAATATTTTCTTTGAGAATAATGTTCATCTAGCAACAGCTTTCTTTGATATTCTACACAAATCACATTTGTTTGCCAACTGTAAGCAAATATTCCTACTACTTTCTATGTCCAAATCATGTAGCTGATGTTGTGAACTATGAGAAACCATTAAAGCTAGAAAACGGAAGTCTGCTAATAATATGGTTGATTCAGATGAAATTACATTAAAATGTGTTTAAATCCAATATGTCCTAAATGAAACAAAAGCAATCACAAAAATGAAACAAAAACAATGTCTTATAAGAGTAGTAAAATTAAAAAATTGAGTACTTGGATGTAAGATGATTGGGCAAACTACATACGGAACTTTGATATTTCTAATGGAAATAAAACTCACAGGATATTAATCTAATAGATAGTTTAACAGATTACCTTATTTTTTAGGGCAATTCCTCTACCATCTGCTGTAAACCATTGCTGGCTACTATATTCAGTGACTTGAATGAACCTACAGGTTGCATCATTAGAATGGGATGAAGCAGAAACTTCTAACAAATGGTCAGGAACTCTAATGAAATCCCCATCTTTTCCATCAAATCTATGCCCATTGATTTGTTGTGGATACCAGTGATGTGATGAGATTACAATATAAGGGCAATGGTCAAGGAAGGTTTTACCTCTGTTAAAAAAGAACAGTAACAACAAGCTAAGTAATTAGAAAATTATTATCTGCATTGAAAAATGTGCAGTAGATGCTCATGCCTGTTCATAGTTGTATTGGCTCATCAGCAATAAAATGAATAATATAGCAAATATTAACTCATTGGTAATGTATTCAGATTTTAGTTCAACTCTTGTGTGAAATAAAAAAAATGTAATCCTGAACTTGAGTGCTAAAGGATTCACTTCATAGGATATGAGACATCTCAAACAATTTGCTTACTTTCATACCAAGATACATACACAGACCTGCAAATAATCTTTAACATTTACCTCACTTTAACATGTGCTCAGTACATATGTAGAAAATGCCATACCTTTCACCTTGTGAGCCACACTTTTCACCAACAGGAAGAGAAAAAGCAAATTTCTCTGTAATATCTACAAGGAAGCTATAGCCTCGAGTATCCTTGCGTTTGGGATTAGCTAGTGCACAGAGGATTTCATACAAAAGATTTCTGTTTCGATCAGTGAGAGCCTGTATTTCTCCTTCAGATATTACCTTGAGAAGGAAATATTTTAAAAAATGTTCAGTGGCTTGATTCTTTTATGCTGGGATTTGAAACATAAAAACATCCTTAATAAACATTGAGAGTAAGTGCCATTGATTTCAATGGAGCTCTTCCCTTGCATAATAGCTATATCTAAAACTTTATGGAGGGCTAATCTTGAATACATAGTGAAGATAGTATATGTCATGATCAATGTATTGGAATTTAACACTGACATTGTATATCATCCACTCATTCGACTTCAGTTCAGTTAAACATTTGGATGAGTAACATTCATCTAAGTGAACAAATACTGCTTATGGATCCTATGTACAATAATACACACAAATTTATATTTTTAGAAACAAAGCAATCATTGGGTCAAAGCTTTTACTATTCTGGCTTCATCTCTCATTGAAAAAAAATAAGATTAAGATTTCCCAATTCTAAGAAATCTTTAATTATTGCAGAAGGGAGAACAAGATACAGACCTTATCTATGATATACATCACAGCAGCAAGTTGCTCTTCTGTATTTTCTGTGACTATTTTGATATTTAGATGCTGGAGGATTGTGTTCAAAATAATATCATCAAGAGGTTGAAACAGCTGATCGGTCAGACTCCAGATTGCTTGGGAGTTTGAATCAGAGACGATGGTGATGTTGGCAATACCATAGATGCTATCAATTCTGGCACCATCTGTAGGATTGAACAGAGTAACTTGGAAGCGTTTAGGAAATAAATTCAGATATCCATTCTTTGGGTTCAGTATTATACTCAGTAGAACATTTTTCTGTCCAGATTCAAAAGACAATGTTCCTTCAGATGCAATAAAATCTTGTCCAGAGATGGCAGGAGATATGACTACGCGACCAAAAGGTTCAGGTCTCAACAGCTCCTGAAAGTAAGGAAATCAACGTCTAGGTAAGAAATTATGTTGCAATTTGTAAGAACAAATTTGCTTCAAACCATTAACATTTCTAAAGACTTCAGTAACTAATAGAAACTCTGTAACATTGTGTTCTAGAATCCCATATACTTAGTTCAGATGTATTCTGGCAAAAAGTGTGTATCATCAAGTGAGAGAATTTTCAAAACTTTAAATTGTCCACTATCATTGGTAAAATGATTGAGGAACCAGGTAACCCTCTGCTTTCTTTAACAGAACAGTATTAATTCGAAGGAGAAGTCTTCCAAAAGTAAAGTGAACTGCTTTAGCCATCACTTTGGGCAGGCAAGAGATGAAGACTGAAATTGAGACCTAGATGATATGTTTGTAGTTTTTAAATTATTTGTCCTTCGGTAGGCAAAAGAAGCCTGGAACCATATTTTATAAACATATAAAATAAAATACGTTACATAGTAA